CACTTCGTGCGCCGTAGCACAGAAACGCGGTCCGAGAGCTTCGCCCACCCCCTTTCCCCCGCGGGGAGCAGCCGCTGCGCTGCCCCGGGCCGTGGCCAATGACGCACAAGCATGGGTGTAAAGCCCAAAATCGCTGCGTGCCTGGAGAGGCACCCGGGCCATAACCCCAGCTCCTGTGCCCCAGCTCTGCAGCTGCCCGCCACGGTTCGGGTTCCCTGGGAAGGGCTTTCTGAGGAGATTCCACGCTGCTTCAGCCTGGTGTGGGGCTGCGAATCCCTCAGGATGCTCCTCCGCCATAGCACGCCTTGGCGGCCCGCTGGCCTTGCTGTGCAAGCCGACCGAACCCTGCATGCTCCCACTGGCAGAGCGAGACGGGCGCCTCTGCTTCACGGTGACTCCCTGGGGCCAGAGCAGCTAGTGCTGACCCTTCCCCACAGCCCAAACACTGTTCATCCTGAGCCGGTTCTGCTGCTGAGCCCCAGGAGCTGCAGCCCTGAACAGCAGCATGTTGGCAACAAGCATGTGCTGGCATCCGGTCTCACCTCATTGAGCGCTCCTGTGCTCAGACACACAAAACACTAATTTTCTTGGATATTAAACAGAGCACCTATCATTGCCTGGTTCAGGGAGGACTGTACAGATCGCAGCCATGTCCCACGTGCATGAGTTTGCCAGCAAATGCCCTGGTCCATGGTCCATGTCATCTCAGAAGACGACCCATCCCCAGGACGCGGGGCCCCACCGTGCTGCTGCAGGATGTTGCCGAGCTCCCGGCTGCTGGTGCAGCTCCATTCCTGACAAACCTGTTTCCCAGGCACTGCCCAGCCTGCCAAGTGTCCACAGCAGTGCCTGCAGTGAGAAACCATTAGGCAAGATCTAAATAGAGGAAAAAAAAATACAGGAACAAAAAAAAAAAGTGGAGAAGAAACAGGTGAAGACTAACTGCGGTGATGCCAGCTGGCGAGTGCTGTGGTGACAGAGGAGGAGGTGAACCACAGAAGTTCAAGCAAATCTCTCCTTCTTCCAGCTTGCCCTCCAAGACACACAGGGCCATGCACAAAGCCCATTTTCCTGCAAGAAGGGAAGGCTTCTGGCCCTTCCCAGGAAGGCAGCATGGTGATGGAGAGCGGCTTGTCCGAGTTTTCACCTGCTCCTTTGGGGCAGGCAAGTGCAGCCAAGGACACAACGAGCAAATCATTTCCGCTGACTCAGGTGGGAGGAGCAGGTTTTGCTGCTGTTAAAAAGCATTGGTGAACATTCCCCCTGCCCAGCCCCAGCTCAGGATCAAAAAGTCAGGAGCCAGCACTGTAATGCCAGCGCAGGACGGTGCAAGGGGACAGGTGAGCTGGTGGAACCAGCACGGCTGAACCCCACTGACCTCTGGTGCATGGTGGGTGAGGGGCGAGTTTATTCTCTCCCAGCACTGATGCCAGCACCCATGTATGGGCATGCCTGAGGTCAGGGAGCAGCGTCAGTCAGCTTAAAACCTTTCCAAACCCACAGAGTGTGCCCAACCCAACCACATGTTAAGCCCAAACATTTATTTTTTGAAACTAAACACATCCATCTCTCTCTCTTCCCAAACCACAATATCAGAGGGCTTTTTGTTGGGTTTTTAGTTTGCAGGAGGCCATTCGGGGTCCCCAGTGGCATTAGCCATGTGAGTACAACTGTCCTCCCCTCAAGCTCTTCGTTTCTGTCTACAAAAGAAACAGCTTCAGTCACCTCAACCACCTGGATCCACTTAACTTCAGCTTGTGGCAATGCCAAGTCCAAAGGGCCGCCCAGCAGCAAGGTAGCACAGCTGTCAGATGCCCCTGTTCTTGTCAAATTGGTTTACTAGTGATTCCCTTTGGGGCTGTGACTGAAAAATAGCATTAAAACCCAGCAAGCTCAGATGTCATCACCTCTCTACGGCATGGTGGGGGCTTGCTGACGGGGAAAGCTCGGGACCAGGAGCCTCTCGCTCAGCCAGATCATGGAGGTTTGCATTATGGTTTGCTTTTTTACATTGTTTTGGTTATGGTGGCCAATTCAAAGCACTGCAGGTGCTTAGCAAACACAGACACGCCCAGGGCTGCTCGGAAGACAGCAAGGAAGGCTGTGAAAGCAATGACTCGTGCTGCTAGGCACAGCCCAAGGAAGCCCCTGGAGAAACACCATCGTCCACCTTCAACCCCCATTGCTGCTCCAGACTCCTGGAGCACGGTTGCGGCAAGCTGAGCTCAGCTCGCAGCACCGCCAGCAGCTGATCTGGAAGGATCGAGTTGCATGGACCCATGCCAGGGCTGGGGCTGGCTCTGGGGGGATGTGAAGGTCACCTTGTACCTGGGCTACTGTGGTGGGAGAAAAGGGGTCTGTTCCTGCCTGCTTGATCCAGGGACCGATGTGTGGCATCGGAGATGTCCGTGCCCACCTTCAGGAAGGTGAGAGGCAGCAGGTGGGTGAGGACACAAGCACCTGGCCACTGCTGGGTACAAAGGTGCAATAGGAGAAAAAGCAAGATGGCTTCAAGTGCACAAAGCGGACAAGACTGGGACTTTGACTAATCATGAAAAAAATAAAGTCCAGAAATTGTTATTCAAGTGCAGGGAAGCAGAAATATTGCAAATAATCCAGTCTGAGCTGCAAAAGTGAGGTCAGGCAGTAACTGGCGATGAAGAAGGTGGACGTTTTGCCTCTTGGGTGTCACCCAAATGGGCATCACCAACCCACCCCCACCCCGACCCCGTTGGGCAGCCCCAGCCCTAGGGGCCCCTGCTTGCCCCAATGTGGCCAGTGGGGTGGACAGGATGGGCACTGGGGCCCTGCTTTGGTGTTGCCCTTTGTTCTCCTGCAGCGCCCAGGGACCCCCATGCCCATACAGACGCTGTGCCTGGTGCCGCCACCATCCCCCGCCATGACAAAGCCACTTTGTGAGGGGCCAGCTGGGCACGTCCGCAGCCTCCTCGCCATCCCGTGCCCCCGGCATCCCCCCATGTTGCCTTCCCTCTTGCAGGTCATGGAGGAAGGCAGGGCCACACCAGCATGGGGCACAACCCCAGCGATCCCCCCCAACTCCTCCTCATCCTCCTGCCACCTCCATCTCCTTCATCCCCAGCTCCTTCATCTTCCCCATGGCCTCCCAGTGGGTCCCATTCCCCCCAGACCTCCCACGCCACTGGGACCGACCCCTCCCTGTGGTGGGAACGAGGCAGCCCAGGCTCTCCGGTGAGGTTAAGCCCCACTGTCCCACCTTGCCCAAGAAGTCACATCATCCCAGTGCATCTCCCAGCCTTTTTATTCGCTGGGCAGCCAGCAGCCATTACATCCAGTCAGCATGAAAACCACAGCCCCAGGCAGCTGCGAAAGCTCACAGCATTCCCCTTCAAAGGGTAAGCGATGTGGCTGGGGCTGTTTAATCTGCCATGCCATTTCCAGACCTAAAGTAACCCCTGGAGGCACAAACATCTTTGTGGAGGGTCTCCCGAACCACAGCCTTCATTTAAAAGATCCTCTCTGTTACATTGTCTGAGCAGTTAAGAAATCCCCTCCTGCTCATAACCCCTCCAAACCCCCTGAAAAAGTCCCCAGGCAGTTACAGCAGAAATGCAATGCAAGAAAATGCAAGCCAGGCAGGAGAAAAGAGTCCAAGTGAAGGAGGTGAAGCCTTTCGTCTTGCAGCTGGAGAGCTGGTCCCAAGACTCCTTGCAGCAGGCTGTATTTTTCTGTCCCTTTACTCCTGCCTTGCCTCTGCAAGAGCCCCAAGGCAGCTTCTGTCTGCTGGAGGCAGCACCTGGCCATGGAAAGCTGGGCAGTGACCAAACTTCAAAAAAAATGCCAGCACTGGTGCAGCCCATGGAGGGTCACGGCCTCCAGGCCCTGGGGTGAGCAGCAAAGCTGCTTCTCAGGGGGATAATTCCACCCCCCAAGCAGACAGAACCCATGCCACCCCTGAGGCTCACCCCGCCTGGGGATCCCCACTCCCTGTAGGGCAGAGTGCGGCCCATGGCTCAGCTTCCCCACAGGGAAAGGGGCTCACAGGGAGCAGCACTAAAAGTATGAGGGGCCTGGGGGTTGACATGGCGCGTCCCATCTGCCCCCCTCCCTGAACAACCCCCGTCACTGTCAGCAGCTCTCCAAGGGGTGGGCAAGGAGACCCCTGCTATGCCCCAGTGGGACCCAAGCCCCCCTGCCCTGCACCCACCTTCAAGGGCTCTCAGATGGGCTGGGGGCCGTGCTGCTGTCAGGGCTGGGCTTGGCGAGCTGTCGCAGGTCCCGCATGGACCTGACAGCCCACTGGGCCAGCTCCCGCAGCACGCCCAGGCCCCGCAGCTTCTTCTCGAAGAGGCCGAGGCTGGGCGTGGGGGGGACCCCAGCCCTGTCCTCACTGGGGGGCCCATGGCTCTCCAGCCGCAGCAGCTCCTCAAGGTGGTAGGCAAAGGCTGAGACCTGGAGCAGGACGGCCGCCAGCGCCCGGCCCCGGCCACGCT